CTACAGCGTTTGAAGGGCCACAGAGGAAGCCAGTTTGTGCATAAAAACATATATGAACTTCATTTGTTATTTAATCCTATTTGTATGACCTCAGATCTGAAGAACAATAGAGTGGTGCATTTTGGATCAGGTTTGTTTCATGGACCAATTTGTCTGTCAAACTTTTTTACAGCAAGACAATTGGTGGAAGAAATCAAATATAAGCCATGTACACCAAGAGACAAAAGAACCAGACTATAGTTAGACCTGCAACCCCATGTGCATTAATCAGTAGAAAGTGAATTAGCGCCTAATTTGCTTATAAAATAATATCTGTTATTTTACCATTTCATAAAGTTCTTTAGTTTCAGATGCTTGAATCTGATAATTTGTTGTTTTTCTTTATCACGTGGTACAGTAACTTGAAAGTCTTAAGACGTTGGCCTGTTAGTCATGCAAAACAAGTATAGCCTACTGAGGAAATAACCTTGGTCTATGAGAAATGTTATTATTATTTTTTTTTTTTTAACATTTCATAAACTATATCATCAGTTTTAACTTTTTAATGTTCAGTCTTTAACACAGAAACTACTTGGTAGCTTATTTAAAAACAGTTTTTATTTGTAGCATGAATTAACACCATGTAAATTCAGCTTCATTTACTATATTATTTTCTATTTATATACGTATCATATGATAATAATATTTATATTTAATTCTGATGCAACAGGTGCTGGCTTGTTAGTCCCCAAAAGTCAGTCAGTCAGTTATGTGTCTTTTACTTTCACAGATGCCGACTTTGAGTTTGATATATGCTACACCTCTGTGCTGAAGCGGGCCACCAGGACACTGTGGCTGGTCCTGGACAGCATCGACCAGATGTGGGTGCCGGTTCATCGGACCTGGCGTCTGAATGAGCGTCACTACGGAGGCCTGACTGGGCTAAACAAGGCAGAGACGGCAGCCAAGCACGGAGAGGCTCAGGTGAAGATCTGGAGGCGTTCTTTTGACATCCCTCCTCCCCAAATGGGCCCAGATCATGACTACTACACTATCATCAGCAAGGTGAGATATGATATCAACAGCAGGGAGACTTCACCACAGAGCTTTGTTGGTCTTGGTAAAAAAAAAAAAAAAGTCTGGTTGAAACATGTGATAAAGTAACTGCACATACAGAGGCATAACAAAGAGGAGGCATGACTTGAACTGAGTGATATCAGCAGGAATGACCGGAGTGTTAGGAGTGAACATATTGAACTGAAGGTCAGATGTGTAAAACTTTTTGTTCACAGCACACTTATCTTCAATGTCCAAATGTTTGTTTCACACAATACAACTGTGCTAGTGTTATTTCAATCCAAAATGCACACTGGGAAAATAGTCCTCTTGTATTTGGTATCATGTGCCCCAATGTTATTACCTAATAGTATGTCCAAGGTGAGTTAATATATGACGGGCTAGAATGAGGTCTGCTAGCTTTAAGTTCAAAGTTCAGTCAATGTGGAAACAAGCTCATCCGAAGTGTGCACAGACAGAGATATCCACATTTCAGATGTGTTTATTCCATGCCTGTAAATAACATAAATCATGGGAAAAAATGTTTCTTAAATATTAAACTCTTGATGTAGGCGGCCACTTAAATACACCTGACATTTGTACTTTGCTTTAAGGCATTTTAGGCTCATTATGTAATTTTTATTTTTTTGCATTGCACCTCCCCAACATCAGTGCCAATTCCAACCTAAATGGGAGGGACAATAACACAAAGAAGAGAGATTCATTGTGAAATCCTTTAGTGCACATCATGAACAACAGATTTTAATTTGACAAAAATGCCATTAAAGATGTAAAACGGAGACATATAAAGGAGAGGTTACTGGAACTTGGACATGAAGAAGTTTTCCCCCAAAGTTTGTATTGTTTTTTTTTGGGATTTCATTTTGTTTAGTTAATTGTTTTCTGTGTTTCTGAAATGTTGCTGTCTTTTGACCTACAGTGCGCCACCGTTTAAATTCTATGTTTAATACACTGAGATGATCTTTTCTGCAGGATCGTCGTTACGCTGACCTGACGGAGGACCAGCTTCCTTCCTGTGAGAGCCTTAAGGACACCATCGCAAGGGCGCTGCCCTTCTGGAACGAGGAGATCGCCCCGCAGATCAAAAAGGGAAAGAGGGTGCTCATCGCCGCCCATGGAAACAGTCTGAGGGGGATTGTTAAGCACCTTGAGGGTGTGTGATAAGTGTTTACATACAGAGTTACCTTGCAAACAATGCTTCTCATCACTGACAAAGCTGTTTGTGTGTTCCTCCACCTGCAGGAATGTCAGATGAAGCCATCATGGAGTTGAACCTACCAACAGGCATCCCCATCCTCTACGAGCTCGACAAGAACCTGAAGCCCTTGAAGGCGATGCAGTTCCTTGGAGATGAGGAGACTGTACGCAAAGCCATGGAGGCCGTGGCTGCTCAGGGAAAGGCCAAGAAGTAACGCTATGGAAAACATTTCTCTGTATAAGACAGTTAAGGTTGCTCTAACAGCTGTCCTCAGATCAGTGTTTTCCACAAGACCATAACTTATTTGAGATTCTTGAACTTGATGAGTACAATGTAGATTGTTGTCAATGGCAACCTAACTCTCTTTGCAAAGTAAAGGGATAATAGATTGCAAACAGTTGGAATATATTAAGACCAGGTGAGCTCTCAAGAGATTTTAAAACAACCCATGCTGAAGAAATGGTTGAATAACATCACAGCCTAATAAAGGTAGCATTTTAATTAGAAATGTTTTTCTTTTATTTTTTGTACTTAAATATCCAAGTAATGGTTATTTTTTTTAATAAAAAATACCAGTGGTTTCCATTCATTTTCTTTTGAAGTTAAAAGTCCTTAGCCATGTTGTCCTTGACTGGCATGTTGCATGTCATAAAAGATTGTAAGAAAGCAAATAACAGAGTCAGGAGTCATACGTATATTGGCCGTCAGTGTTTTCACTGTCAATTGTACAAAGGGGAAGAAAGGCTAAAGACTTGACTCATCCAGTTGTAGCCTGTATGCCTATACTGATACTCATTTTCAAATATACTAAAGAAGTTGTACCTATATTTGTTTTATCATACTGACTTCTGCCAGCTCAAGGTTTTATAAGAAACGTTTTGACGTCAAGGGGACCACTGTAAAGGGTGAACAACTTGTTCCTCTTTAAGTCAATTATTTGAAGCATTCCAGTATTCATTTTGTAATCTCTTGAGAGCAGTAAATTGGGCTTAAAACAGCTTGACAGTCCCTTTCTCTTACCAGTGATGTTTGTGCAGTGTGTTTGAATGTTATATTGATGTCTGTGTTGTGTTTGACGATCCGTGTTCGTGTCTTTGTATTTCAACTTAAGTAACACTGCCAAACATTGCATTAATATCAGTATTGCACTGTAAAAGGAATAAATACATTTGGATTTGGAGTGTAATCCTACAATTTCACAATACCACTGTGACAAATAATTAACAGCAGATATAATGTCTGATCATTATCTTTAAAAGTTAGTTTGACTTCCTGTCTTTGCCTCTTTGTGTAATAGTGTGTATGTGCCTTTCAGTGCAATTCTTAACAGCTCACCTCACATTGCAATGAACAAGCAGTGGTGGTTTTGGAAAACAAACCTTGGTCTCTCCTCTGTGTTGGTTAAATGTACCCTGAAAGCCCTGATGTAATAAATGCACATCTATGTATAAATCAAACGAGTTTGCATCTATTTTTTCTTGAATTAGGACAGCACACCAGAATCAATATATCAGCAAAGTAAATATGAGGTCGTGCATGAGAAACTAACTCCCGCTGCCTGAACAGAGCAAAAAACATTGTAAAGGACAGCTCACACCCCGGCTCGACATGTTGCCCTCTGGCAGACGCTACAGGTCTGTCAGAGCACGGACAAACAGACTCAAGGACAGCTTCTTCCCCAGAGCCATAACCACACTGAACCTGGACATGCGTTGACCATTCCACCCTCACCACACATACTGTGCAATATTTATTTTATATTTCTACAATATTTTACATTTCATACTGTGCAATATTTATTTTATATTTCTGCAATATTTTACATTTCATATTGTGCAATACTTATTTTATATTTCTGCAATATTTTACATCTCATACTGTGCAATACTTATTTTATATTTCTGCAATATTTTACATTTCATACTGTGCAATATTTATTTTATTTTATATTTCTGCAATATTCTACATTTCATACTGTGCAATATTTATTTTATATTTCTGCAATATTTTACATTTCATACTGTGCAATACTTATTTTATATTTCTGCAATATTTTACATTTCATACTGTGCAATACTTATTTTATATTATATTTCTGCAATATTTTACATTTCATACTGTGCAATACTTATTTTATATTTCTGCAATATTTTACATTTCATACTGTGCAATATTTATTTTATTTTATATTTCTGCAATATTTTACATTTCATGTTGTGCAATATTTATTTTATATTTCTGCAATATTTTACATTTCATACTGTGCAATATTTATTTTACATTTCTGCAATATTTTACATTTCATACTGTGCAATACTTATTTTATATTTCTGCAATATTTTACATTTCATACTGTGCAATATTTATTTTATTTTATATTTCTGCAATAGTTTACATTTCATACTGTGCAATACTTATTTTATATTTCTGCAATATCTATTTATATTCTGTTAAGCTACTACCTGTAAATAACTCCTTCCATACATTGCCCACCTTACCTGAATGAGAGTTCCTTTTTTTTTTTCTTCTTCTTTTGTTGTTTTTAGCTGTGGATGCTTGCATGTGTGTGCACTTTAAGGTGAAGCCAAATAATTTCGTTGTACAATTGTATAAAGACAATAAAGACATTCTATTCTATTCTAAAGGGTTTATATTAGTGTACATTCACATTTTTGACTAGTTGCTCACACACAAAAAAACGCATAACCTAAGTTTGACCTACATGGCTTTCCATAGTAAACAGACACTAGTCTCCTAGTTTCAGAGGAAGTGTCCTCCGCTTGTCGATTTTTTGTGCAGCTGTTTACCTCTAGTGAGCGAAACATTTGTCAACAGCAAACTCACCTTCCCGCTTATCAGTTGACTCCGTGGTTGCCAAGCAACACGGGAAAGGGCAACACGGACTCCAAGTTCCATGATGCAACCCGTGTCATGTTGGACGCTTCTGCAGCGGCGGCAGGCGGGAGAAGACCAGTTTGATAAGAAATTATTCGGTAGCTGTGAACCCGAATTAGTCGACGTCCGTTGTTTAAAAAAAAAACACTTGCACAATCCTCACAATGAGAAGAACAACAGAGAATCAAGGAAACACTCGGTAAGAGGACGTTTGTTTTGCTGTCCATTGTTAAGTGCGCTAGCGAGCTAACAGATAGCTTCACAGTGAACTTCCTGGAAGAAAACAAAAAAACAAACGACCTGCTAACGTTCAGTTTTATTTCACAGCAAGGGAGGCTCATTTATCTTAAAAACTCGTAGCTATGGGTTACTTAATAACACAGTCATGTGGTTGATAGGATGGAAACTCGTCCCCTCCTTTATGTCTATTTCCTGTCTTACTTCTGTAAGGTAGCATTTTATTTACTCGTGCTAGCAGAGGGGCCGCTAACGTCTATGACTTTGTTTACTCTACCCTGCCTGCCTGACTGTGTTTTTGGGTTGTGCTTAACTTTATGTTAAACTTTATGTGTTAAACAGGAAGAATAGACATAGCTGCAGGTCAACGTAAAGCCACCCACATCCTTCACAGACTGGACCCTTGTTGTCATGTTGTTCCTTCACGTTGCATGCTGTGATTGGAAGACAACCACACTAACAGGTGTATTCCTGTCCTGGTGGACACCTAGACTCGTGCTAGGTGTCTGCTCTGCAAAACTCATGTCCTTCACCCTCCGGTTTTAAAACTAGAGCATTTAGTTGCTATAGTTTCGCCTTTGAAACATCACTGAATTACTTTTCTTGTCGACACTGATCTGTTTCTCCTCTGCGCTTTCTTGCAGAACACTTGCAGATTATTACTCCCCGAGAGCTAAAGGTGGGTCAGTTCATTTTTCTATAATGGTGCACCTTGATTTAGTGTGTAGTAAGTGCTTGAAAAAAACGCTTTTTTAGAAGGTGTTGAAAGAAAGGTAGTTATTATATTTCATATTTGGAAAACCTGTCCAAAAATGCACATGTATTCAGTCTAAATCCTGCTGCTCCCTGCACAAAGGCTATGACTCATAATGTTCAGTTTTTGCTAAAGCTGTTGAGATGTGATCATTGAATTTAGTTGTAGCTTTGGAGGCAAGCGTTCGTTTTGATTTTTGAAATAGGCCACATGTACAGTGTAAGAGTTTAATATTGCTTATATTCTCCTCCTGCCTTTGTTGCTAATGTTGTCGAGGCGTATATTTGACTTGTTAAGGAGTTGTATTTGGATTGGCAACAAGTCAAGTGTTACAGCTGATTATGCACCCAATTGCATATCACCACATTGGTTTACAAAGTAAGAGAAAAGCATGAAAAGCTCATCTGTAAAGGATCAGAAAATGTGTAACTTTGTCAATATACTTCAACGGGCATTGTTCTGATTTGTAATATATTATGGTCATTTTTATAATCATACCATGTCTTGATACTTGCACTCTCACAAACAACACTTTGTTTGAACATCTTGAAACTTAGTAGACGTAGAACAGTTTGTTCATGTGCCTGCAGCCATACACTCAGAGTCGACACATTTACCTCATTTTAACCCTTCATGTATTTGAGTTTCAAATGTTGTTAGTTGGAAAAATCTTGTTCTCTTAGTCAGTTTATTGAAAGAAATTGTCAACACCTACACCAGAGGCTTCTATTAAGATTCAAAAACAACATAAAACAGTACATTTTGAGGTGAGATTAATTAAATATGTGTTAGTAACTCTACTCATACCTACTTAAAGAGAGATTCAGCATCCAAATCTGCTTTTTTGTGCAGGTATATGTAAACATACCAAGAATTTGATTACAGTTTTATAACACTGTCAGTGTGCATACACAGCCAAAACTTTACATTTATACTGTTTTTTTTGCAAGGAGAAATTAATGCATAAAAGGGTTCAGGCAAATGTATGTGCTTGTGCCACCATTTAAATCTAGACGTGGCAAATAGTGAATTCAGTAACACACAGGTACAACTGGAGCATTGAATTGTACCAAATATATAAGGTGACTAAAGACGTTTTTTCACCAATGTTCTTTGTGTTTTAGGAAAGGACTTCACACTCCAGCAGCGCTTCCCATCCCATTTCACATCTTTTGCCCAGGAGAGTCCAATGAAACCCTCACAGGTCCCTAATCGACTTCCTCACCCGGCACCCAGGGGAATGTTTTCACGTCAAAAACCTGAGTTGTACCCAGTATCCCCTTGCCCGGTAACTTTTGTAATATCTTATGAAATGAAACATTAAGTTCTAGTTGGATGACCGTCCATATGCTTATGTTTACTGAAAACTCTGATAATATAATTAAAACAGAAATGATCCGTTATTACTCTGATATTAAGCTGTTGAATCTCATCATCTAATGCCATAAAATGTTGATCTAGGAAAGACAACTGAAATTCAAGAACGCTTAGGAGGATAAGATACAGTACATTATTGTTGTTGTTGTTGTTGTTGTTGTTGTTGTTGTTTAAAAAAACTCTCAACTAAGTGGCTCTTTTTTGTTTTAGGACCAACGACATAAACGAACATCTTCAACTGAAAAATGTATTCCAGGTAAAATGATGAGAAAGCAATATTACTGTTATTATTATTTACATTTATAACGGCGCATTCTGTTAGTTAGTAAGTTTTTAGAAAAAAATTGTAAATTTAAAAACATACTTTTTTGAAGGTGCCTGCTTCTGTTTTTCAATTGTTGTTGTCAATGAGGAGAGTGTGCAGGAGCAGGTGGCCACCTGGAGAACAGGTGCAGCGCCCAGCATCCTTATTCTGAGTATGGATCATGTTGTGTACCCAAATCCGCCTTGTTTTGAGTCTGATTGGAGCCCTGATAGCGGGGCTGTCATTATGAAGCTCATCACCCAGACATAGTGGGAGGTCAAGCATGGTCTGTTTAATGCTCATGATGAAGGGGAGGGGAAAGATCTCAAATATATAACATACAGTAAAAAGCAACTGAGCAGTTTCGGTCTTATAGTGACAGTTGTCAAAGGACTGTTGTCATAGAGACAACAAGCATGTGCAGCACTTGAATTCTCAGCGCACAAGCATTCCCGAGCGCACAGCCAGCGCTTTTCTGCCTGTAAAAAAACTTCCAGGTGGACACAAGCACTTACACTTTTTATTAAAAAATGATCTTTTTGTCATCATAGCAGATTGCAGTTGGCCAAAGACGTTCGATGACGACAGTTAATTCAGAATATTTGTAAAAGAAAATTGATTTTCTTTGTACTTTTCTGTCTCCAGCAGTGGACTTGAACAGCTCTTCCCTGAAGAGGAGGAGGGAGTCTGAGGACTGTGTTGACAGTGCTGTGAATCTGGGCTGTGAAAACTCTTGCAAAGCACAGACACCAAGGCCAACTGCTGGCAACTCACTGAGGACTTCTCTTGTGTCTGTGCCATCATCAAGGCAATCTTTATTTCCTGAACAGTCACTTAAAACTACAGACAACCATCCTCGAAAGGAATCTGTATGGGGCCAATCATCTTCACTCAGACCTACCCAGTGTTCTTACCCATCGCTGTCACTTGTTCCTTGTACAAAGAAAAAATACCCAATGGGAGCAAAGCAAGCCTATGTAGAGCATACTCAGAACCATACTCTGAGGCTAAAAGATGTATATGTACCTTCAAGGCAAATTGAAGAAAATTTAACCCGAAGAAGAGAGGAAATCAATAAATCGGATAAATCTAGCTCTTCGTTTTCCCCTGGAGTTCCGCAGAAAGACAATGGTTCTTTTCGCTCGGGGATCCACCACTCTGGTCATTCTCACTGTAGTTCCTCGATCCTGCCGGTCAAGAACCCGGACAGAGGTCATAAGCTGGAGGAGAATAGAAAGTTGGGTAGCGTCACTCCCAAGCCAGCCTCAAAACCAAATTCAGATTCTCTGAGTAGTGTCGCAGTGAAACGGCGCAAAACTACCCACTCAAGAAGACCTGTTGCAATCCCAAATGATATAGATGACCTTTTCACCCCTGATCCTATGACATATGTTGTTAGCCCTTCCCATAAAGTTTCAAAGCAAAATATAGATGGGGGAGCGATCAAATCCCCGGCCCCAATGATTTGTTGTTCTGGATCCTTGCGTCGCGAAATTCAGAAGGTCAAAATAACTGATTCTCCTCATGCAGGCGACCCAAACCCCTCCTCAAAGGTTCCAGGTCACCCACTATCCTTTTTGCCAACTGTAACTTTGATGCGAGTTAATCTTGAAAACCTTAGACCCCCTCACAGTAAAGACACTGAACTCAAAAACGATCACATTACGTTTTCAAGCAGGCAGCCTGAGGAGGAAAGTGGTAAAGATAATGAGAAACGCACAACCTACCACTCCAACAATGTGAGAGCATGCACTTTAGAGACGGACCCCGCTGCCTCTGGACATACTTCTACACATCCTTGTGTTCAGTCCCCACTGCTGGAAAGGCAGGCAAGTGGAGAGGGGAGCCAGCAGGTGAATGATGTGCATCCTGTAGATGTGGCGCTAGACCTGGACCTGAGCTTGGCATTAGACATGGATCTACCTCAGAGCTCCCAAAGCAGTGAAGAGGAAAAGCTGCTTTCTCCGCAGGAGATGATGGAGCGCGCAACCATGCCTCCAGATACCCCGAGAAGGGAGTGTTCTCAGAGCCAGTTTCTGGATCCTTGTGTCGCGAAATTCAGAACGTCAAAATAACTGGTTCTCCTCATGCAGGCGTCACAAACCCCTCCTCACAGGTTCCAGGTCACCCACTATCCTTTTTGCCAACTGTAACTTTGATGCGAGTTAATCTTGAAAACCTTAGACCCCCTCACAGTAAAGACACTGAACTCAAAAACGATCACATTATGTTTTCAAGCAGGCAGCCTGAGGAGGAAAGTGGTAAAGATAATGAGAAACGCACAACCTACCACTCCAACAATGTGAGAGCATGCACTTTAGAGCCGGACCCCGCTGCCTCTGGACATACTTCTACACATCCTTGTGTCCAGTCCCCACTGCTGGAAAGGCAGGCAAGTGGAGAGGGGAGCCAGCAGGTGAATGATGTGCATCCTGTAGATGTGGAGCTAGACCTGGACCTGAGCTTGGCGTTAGACATGGATCTAACTCAGAGCTCCCAAAGCAGTGAAGAGGAGCAGCTGCTTTCTCTGCAGGAGATGATGGAGCGTGCAAGCAAGCCTCCAGATACCCCCGAGAAGGGAGTGTTCTCAGAGCCTGGTACGCCTGGACCTCGCAGCTGCAAGCTAAAAACAGTAAGCTCCACATGGTTGTTTACATGGCTCACAGATCTCTGTATGTATGACATTGGATTCATCGAGGTGAAGGACCCGTTAAACTCGACTTCAAACTTTGTGTCTCTGTTTGCACTTTAAATATCTGTTTTGTTTTTCCACAGCAGGCAGTGCCATCCTACACAAAGTCAGGCAACTACAAGAACAGTCTTGACCAGATGCTGAAAGAAATTAGCACCAACAAAAGGTATGATGTTAAGACAATGAATAATATTTCCTAATCTTGTCAGAGCTAGAGTAGTTGCAGATACAAGGTGTAAACTTTCTCCATACTCTTTAGATCAAAAGAGATTGAGACACAGCTTCTGACTGCATGCAAAGAGGACCTGTTGAAAATAGCTGAATATGAGGAGGCTGAGGAGAGCCGGGAGGAGGGGATCACCACTGAACACCAGTAAGACATGCAGAAGCACTCTGACACATTGTACCGTGCCGCTACAACAATGTCCTTCACAGTTATTATCTGAAATCGTCATTTTTGTGTTTAATTTTTTGTGTTTTCCAGGGAGTTTCTGCAGCGCTTCTCGTTGATGTCCAGTGCAATCAGGGAGGTGCCTCCAGGAGAAATGGTGTTCAAGCTGGAGAAATTTGGCCAGATCTTCAACCAGAACACGCTGCAGCTCAGAAAATGCATGCTAAATCCAGAGGGGGCCGCTCAGAAAACACTTCTTTGGTGAGTTTTTTTTTGCCATGAAAAGGGTGGATTGAATTGGCATTGATATTTATTTTTCCAAAAGCCTCAATTCTTGTTAGTTTTTGTCTTCCTGCCGTTTTTAATCATCGGCCATGTATAGATATTAATGTCGTCCATGAAATGTTTCAAGCAGAAAACTTGCTGTGGTTTATTTGCCCCTTGAATAATCTTGGAACTTCAATGAAGGATAATTTTTCTCCCTTTTATTTTATATTGGGGGATGCATTTAACACTGAAGCATATATTGAGCTTTATGTTTTTTTATTTACTGTAAAGACCTTTGAGCTTACCTCTATTCAAATATGTTAACAAATAAAATACAATTGAATTGAGTAAGCCAGGGTGTATTGTTTTAGTTTTTTTCTTCTTTAATATCCAATTCCTCATATCTTTCTTTCCCTCTGCTGTTTCCCTGCTCTCTACCAGGTCCAGCCCTGCTCAACTGAGATTACATGTAAATAGTGGATTGTTCCAGGAAGCTTACGCTTGTCATTTGCCCTGTCCAACTCAGGTTACACGTTTTCTCTTCAAGGTAGGCTTCACACTCACCTGTAAAATGCCTTTAAGGATTTTTTTCAAAATATCCACGCTTGGCTCCAATTCTGTGTTCTATGTCGTTCTCTGCTTTCAGATGATGTCAGTCCATAATGAGAGGATGTTGTCTGAAAATATACTGCAGACCCTTTGTGACATAGCCAGCACCGCTGCTTATCAAATTGGTACATTCCTTTTTTTCTCCTACAAGTTATATGTTTATCCAAACAACTGCTGAGTTGTTTTTTAACATGCTTTTATGCTTCCTCAGTTAAAAACGGAAGCCAGACGTTTGAAGTGTGGGTGCCCAGTTTGGCTGATGTGGCACTGGTCCTGATGAACATGGGAGCTTCCTTTGTTACCCTCTTTCCTTTTGAAAATCTGCAGCCTCCATTCACTGAGGGAGATTTGCTGTAAGTAACCTCTCCATTGGTTTTATCATTGCTTATTTACAGAGTTTAGTGTGTTAGCTTAGCGTTGTTCATTATATTTTATTCTATGTAGTTGATTATTTGTGTGTTTCTATAGGGAGAATGTCTACATCAAAGCAGAGAGTCTGTCCAGTAGCGAGGAACAGAGCACTTTCCCTGAACACAACTGCGTCAACGTCCTGAAGGTGAGACACAAAAGAAAACAGATGTCTGATAGGAACAGTTGGCCAGCATTTCTTCGAGGAAGACAGTTTGTCAAATACAGCATAAAAGTCAAAATTCATTCATTCCTTTCTTATTGTTTCTCCTGTGGTATCATGTGTAGTACCTGTCGTACTGCATGGGCCTCTGTCCACGGGCCTACAGCGACGATGAGCTGCTGCTGTTACTTACAATGTTGGAAAAGGTGGGGCTGGACACACAGCTCATCCTCCAGTACACGTGTGAGATGTATTCTCTGCAGCACAAAATGGTCAACAACTTCAGGGACTGGAACGCCATGGTAAGTTGATGTGTGCAATATTATGTAATTTATTAGCTAAAACAACAAGTCCTATGTACATGAGTTCAGTTATGAGGTTGAGAGCAAGTTTCTTTAAGAAAAAGGCTGTTCTTTTTTTAATGTATGCCGTTACATGTCAAATAGGGTTGTCACAATACCAGATTTTTAAACTTCTAAACAATGCTGGAAAAAAAAAAACAATATTGATACCTGTTTTGATACCACAGCAACAAAATACAGTCCTAGGCACCATATACTGGGTATTCCTTGTTTGTAAAGTTAAAGCTACATTCTTTAAAATCCCCAATTAATGAAAAATACATTTTCCAAGTTGTAATCCAGGATCCGTGTGATAAATTGTATCTGAGTATTTCTATATCAAAAAACAATTTTCTCTATGTAAAAAGTTCCAAATGTCTAATGACTCATCACTCACTCATGGGCGTTTACAAAGGTTCTAGTGTCTGTCCTCTGAGTCCGACATAACTAGCTGGGTGAAACAGACGCTTGGCAGTGACAACAGTTGGAGTGCATTCTGTGTGAATGTTCATGTTGCACGGTGACACAGTTAATTACCAAAAGAATCAGGCAAACTCCTGCACACTGTCTAAATTGCACACATACCTTGTCAAAGTTTTGGTCGACGGTGATCTCTCTTTTACTTGCAGCTGCTTTTTGGCAAAAGATATGACTGCAGATTGGAAGTATTTAAAAAGCTTTGTCAGAGTTTGATTCTTTCAATAATTGAGATACCTGAGATTGTGGTTTAAAACACTTTGTAATGAATTGTGTTGAACAGTGTCGAAGTACTGGAAATACTGAAAACCCTTCATGTTAAATCGTAAAGTATTATCTAAAGTGACTTAAAATGCGACATACTGTGGCCCACTGGGAAGACAGATCTATTAGCAATTTGCTTGGAATCATTTATTTATGCAGAAGAAGTGTATCACAACATCATGATCATCCACACACAGAAATCTGAAAATTAGATGACAGTAATGGAACTGCATTGGCCGAACTGTGTATGAACTCTGTCCTTTTAACTGGATTGAATCATTTATGATCTGTTTCTAGATGCCAAGAATCTGTTTGGCTCTCACTGATCTGACGGATGACCACCACAACATGTGCCTGCTTGTTCGAATGCTTCCTGACAACACTCGTGGAAAGTAAGTCCTTTTTATCTCTCTCAGATCTTCCCTCTACTTGACTCCTATCACTTTTATAAACAGTTCACATTTGTTTCAAAAGGCAACTGCGTCGCCATCTGAGCCTGTCAATGATCTCCAAACTGTTGGATGGAAATTGTACGTACACACCTACAGGGGAAGAGATTCAGGTAAAAATCAGTATGTAACCTAAAGTAGATAGTAGGTAATAAATGTTATTATTATAAATGGCCTCACTAATCTTAAATCCTCTCCTCACACTGTGCCAGCTCTCTGAACTGAGGCGCTTCCTGCCCCGCATGCAGCCCTCGACCCTGCTTCGAAACCTGCAGAGGAGTCAGAGGGAAAAGGAGGACATGGCCACCCTGGACCAACAGGTGAATACATGCTTGATGCCTAAAACTGCAAACTTTGGCTTGTTTTCATGTGTTGCTTTCCTATTATGAGTTATTAATTTAACCTTTTCATAACAGTATTAATTGGACAGCATGTTTTTGTGAGATGATGACACATGATTTTCTTGTTATTCTGATACAAGTTTCTCGTTTTTTTATTGGATATTTCAGTCCTACTACCTCTGCTATAGCCTTCTGACCTTGGCAAACGAAGTTTCCAACTTTCAGATCTTCCCAGCTCATCAAAAGGTAAGGCTGAATTTCTTTCCCTTTTTTGCCTGGTCTAAAGTGATTAGTCAGCTTGTTTTGGTTTTATTGTTTGTAGATTGTTTTATCCTTTTAAGGAGGAGAGGTGTGTTATTGTTACCTTGAATCTTTCTTTGCAACCAGGAGCACCTGCTGAATCTGTGCTCTGAGCTGGAAATGCATGTGAAGTGTGACATCAGAGAGAGCGAGAAATGTCTGTACCGAAGCAAGGTGAGTGTGATTTCAAACAGAAGTTCAGCGATTTCTGTGTATCCGTTTGTATTCTGATGAAGATGTAGTGTAAAACATTCCTACATCTTTAAGATTTAAGATATTACAGTTTGACATTCTAAAAGCTTTTAATTGTACACCTCAGTTTTTTGATTACCCTGAAGAAAATGTAGGAAACTAGAGGCAGTTGGTTATGTTTTATCTACCTTCTCCCCCTCCAGGTGAAGGACCTGGTGGCCAGGATCTACACCAAGTGGCAGATACTTCTTCAGAAGACAAGGCCTCTACATGTACAGTACCAATACACTATTATAATATTTGCACTATTCTTTTCACCAAAACATAAAATCATTTGTCAAAAATGTTATAACTTTGATTTTCACTTCTGTATTTTCCTCCTGCAGGGTAAGTTGTATGATTTCTGGCAGCCTTCGTCCGTGGATATTTTGACAAGCTCCCAAGAAGATCAGGAGGTGAGCAGCAGTGATGAAGGAGAGGAGGATGAAGAGAAGGAAACCAGGGAAGAGAACGAGGTCGAGGTAATGGCCGATGAAGATGAGAAGGAAAAGGGAGACGATGAGCCAAACAAGACAGGGGGAGACACAGAGCGTCTTTTGCATAACAAGGAAACGTTGGAGATGGAGGTTCATGTAAACACAGAGTCTGAAGTAATGGAAGAACATGAAGATGCCGAAAACAAACAGCGTACTGAGTTTGAAGCTGGAAATGACATTGAAACAAAAGAGAGTCCTCAGAATAACCGGACGGAGGCAGGTGATTTAATGTCATAGAGATTTGTATTTGTTCTCAGGGCTTTGTTAGCTATTGCCTTAATGTTTAAGCTCAATTTGCACTGTAAGCTAATCAATTACCTCCGACGTTGATTGTCAACACAAATATTGTGTATTAAGAAATAAAAACATTTAGGAAGAGATCCCCAAATTTGTAAATGGCCAAGGCCTCGTCTTCTTTTTGCTTAGTGCTGCTCAAGAAATAAAATCTTGATTCATTGTCTTTAAAAAAAAAAGTCCTATTTAATGTACTTCTGGAGTGTGCAATTTGTTAAACTTGTGTTTGTATGTGTTTTATTGTTGTGTTCTACCACCTAAGTTTATTTGTTAAAATGTAGTCCATCCCGAAAATTACTTCATTTTTATTTTATCCTAACCAACAAGTGAACTTTTAACTGTATATACGCTGCATATAATCCTGGAGAGGAAATATGCCCAAGTATATACACTATATAACCAAATGATGTTTACCTTCTCCTCTGGTGCACTTGTTTTTCTGTTTTTACATGAAGCTGTGTCAGGAAGAATAGCTGCCTTTGGTACTTCTAACCACAATGTTATGCAATTTTTAAATTCTGCTTCTACTTTGTAAATAATTTCCATACAAATGTCTACTTTTTTGTCGATTAAGTGTTTCATTTCAAATGTGTGTTGTGTTGAATTTGTGTTCTCTTTTGGAAGATGTTTTTTTTTAAGGAAGAATAAACTTTTTTTTGTATTGTGTTTGTTGCTAGATAGAGAAAATAAACAGTTTACATGTCAACCTCAAGTTTTGCATTGCATTTATGAAGCATGTCGGCAAAATATATGCTGCTTACACCATTATTTGCAATATTTATAACATCCACAACTTAGATTATCCTTGGAAGAATTATTAGTTGAATTTAAAGTGCATTTAACTAAGACATTCAGGCTGGATCAGAGCAACCAATCAGGGTTGGTTTTCACATAACTAGCCAATCACAGCCAGTCTTGGGAGGAGAACGTGGGGGTTACAGTGTTACATATTCATTTTACTTACTGCCACTTTTTAATACTCTCCATCTGAGCAATAAACCAACGAAATGTTGTTCTTATGGCCACATTAACTGCTATGCTTTATACGTTGTACAGTTATAACCATGCTTTACTTTTTCAGGTGTGACACTTAATGTAAATACCGAGTAAAAAATAACCTTTGCTTCGGTGTATTTGGTCCGGCTCATAGACTGTAAATATTCCGCGTTGCACTCCACCCCACTTTCACACGGTTGCTAAGCAACGGTAGTCAGGTGACTGTCTGCAGACAGAACATGGCTGACCTGTCAGAAGACCAATGAGGAAAAGGCCAAATTTAGCATAATCGATCTTGTTTTTTTTAAACGCCGTACTGACCACCGTTGACCGTCGTGGACAGCAATTAACCAGAGGGACACAGAAGGTGAGTATTCAGAGCGCTTGAATTTGTATTTAACACAAACTGTGTTGGTCGGAACAGCGGGAGCTAATGTTGGAGTCGGCTAGCTGAGCACGCTAGTTAGCTGCTAGCCAAACAGTCCCTTCGCTTTCTCCTGCAGAAGTCTCATGAATGTGAAAACTCGCAGGGCGAAATAGGATTTAGGCAACTTTGTGTGACCGCAACAAGTTGTCTTATGCAATTAGGAACGTTATTAGCAACGAACGCGTTTGCTGTGGTGTAAGTGTGTTATTGACTTATGAGTTGAGAAGATATCGTTACAAGTGTTGGAATTTATCTTCATCGGAGTCCTACGTCAGTATGCACACGCAGACCCCCTTTTAGGAGCAAATCAGAGGATCAGCACTTGGTATTGTATTATAATGTGTTAGTTTTTGCTCTGAGGACACAGAATCTGGCTCACTGACACATCACAAAACCACAGAGAGATTTAAACCTTTGAACAGGAAGCAGTCTTTCACATCGATTGTTTAGTTAGTGGGAGGCATGAGCCCTGATTCTGTGGAGAAATGCCAAAGTCCTGTAACAGACTCTGCGACAGCTATTGTTCAAGTTGTGTTCGAGCTAGATACAGGGTCAAAGCATGACTCAAAGCTTAGGAGAAAGCTTCCAGGTTTATTTTTTTTTAACAGTTGCAGTGTTTTACTCTTTGCAACAGAGTTTTTCAAGTTTTTTTTTGTGGAATACATTACAAGTAGTTCCTATGTATATCTTTTGGAGATTGATTGTCTTTGTACCAACTCCTTTACTTACTTCTAGACAATTTCGGAGTTATACTTTCTTTGTTTTTTTAGTCTTTGGTAATGTGTACAACACAGCCCAGTATTCTACAATTCAGTCAGCAGACGCTTTTATCCAAAGCGACGTACATTAGAGAGTAAGTACAATACAAGCAAGGATCTAGAAAAAAGGGAACAATGTCTGTAAGAGCAAACGATCAGTTTTGAGTCTGATTGGACACACAGGTGCTGACAGGAAGTGACCAGAGGCAAAGCACAACATTGAGGGCAGTTCTTGAGAGCTCTAATCAGTATAGAAAGTCGTCGTTATCAAACAAAAACCATCGTCATTACCATCATCATCAATGATATCGAAACCATCATCATTAAGTTAGTAGGTATTCATGAAAGAGCTGGGTCTTTAGCTTTTTCTTAAAGGTGCAGAGGGACTCTGCAGATCGAATGGAGTTTGGAAGTTCATTCCACCACCGGGGGGCGACACAGGAGAAGAAGAGTCTAGTCAGCGTCTTAGGACCCTGTTGTGAAGGTTGGATCAGACGCCTTTCATTGGCAGAGCGTAGTGTGCGGGAGGGAGTGTAGACCTGGATGAGAGAGTTAAAGTAAGGAGGAGCCGTTTTTGTCGCTGTTTTGTAAGCGAGCAGGAGAGTTTTAAATTTGATGCGAGCAGTAACTGGGAGCCAGTGTAAGGAGATGAACAGCGGAGTGACATGCGCTCTTTTAGGAAGGTTGAAGATCAGTCGTGCTGCTGCATTTTGTATCATTTGCAGAGGTTTGATAGTGCATGTAGGAAGACCTGCCGGTAGAGAGTTGCAATAATCGATGCGTGATATCACAAACGCCTGTACCAGGAGCTGTGTAGCGTGTCTAATATGCCAATATATATTTGCTTAAAAATATTTCATCCACCAAGCTTTAAAATGTACACACTCTCTCCTGTTATGTGACGCAAGTGAGACTAGTTTCAACATATAAATTAAACAGATATACTGGATATTGTTGTGAAAGAAGAAAAACAAGTTTGAATTTCCCCCTCATAATGTGTTAATGATATCTGTTTTAAAGCTTTTTTTTTGAATTGTTGATATTGTTAGTAGTAACAACTCACTATCTGATTGCAGATGAGCGAGTTTCCGGAGGGAATAGCAAATGGCCCGAGCAGGGGTAAACACTTGCAGAAAGATGCTCAAATTTGGGAGAGGCCGTGGACTCTTGAAGAGATGCGGCAGAGCAGTGCCAACTGGTCCCTGGCATCCGACTCTGGGGTAAGCCAGAAAACTCTTCCCATGCTCTGTAAAAAGAAATCTGATTATTGTCACTATCTTTTCTCTTGAAGTCTGATTATTGATTTAAGTGTAACCAGTTGAAATGCAGTTTGTTCTGCTACGCTGTATGGACGTAACTAACTGAACAGTTGTTGCTGTGTTTTGTTTTTCTTTCTTTACAGCTCTTCCTCTTCCTCCAAGACTTCTCCCATAGAATGCTCTCAAAGACTCATGAGATTGAAAAGCAGTTGGACAGTCTGATCCGTGACACCAAGGCCACAGACAGCTGCTTGCACTCTGTCTTTAACGACTTCCTCATGCTTTCCAATACACAGTTTATAGAAAATGTAATGTTTATATTTGAACGTTTTTCTTTCTTCTGCTTGTTATACGTAAACTCTGACAAATTAGTATACTTTGGTCTAGTTATCGAACCAAAACTGTTGCACGGCTTGTTGTAGTAAAAAGTAGGTAAAAAATGGTCATCTGACTTTGTGTTCTGTTTCAGAGAGTGTATGATGAAGAGGTGGAAGATGCTGTTTCCAAGACAGAAGCTTTTGAGAAGCAGCCTGAGCAGGTATGAATAATTCATCCATCCAACTTCTAAGCTTTGCTGGCATAGATGAGAACTTTTACCAGCCAATGTAAAACTGTATAATGCTGTTCAGGGTTATTATATCATGGCCCTGTATACTTTATCCACAAGTCTTGTAGTGTCTCTTAAAAGGCCTTTATATTTCTCCCGAAGGAGAAAACTCGAGAGCAGAAAGAGGCAGAGTTGATCCCTAAGATGCAGGAAGCTGTGAACTACGGTTTGAGCGTCTTGGAGTCAGCCTTTGAGCATCTGGACATCAAAGCAGGAAACTCTGACTCAGAGGATGAGGACCTCACAGACAGAGTGGAGGCTATCCTGGAGCCAAAGGTGGGCTTTTATCTTGAAACTAAAAATTACTGCAGTGACTCTAAAGATGCATTTAATGATGCTGATTTGCATTACTGTACTTTAGCCTACACTGTTTATTTTCTTTCACCTTTGTCTTTAGGATCTTTATGTAGACAGGCCACTTCCATATCTGATCGGTTCCCAGGCCTTCATGGAACAAGAGGATGTAGGACTTGGTGACCTCTCAAGTGATGGTAAGATGGTCATGATGCCTTCTACAGGCACTGATACTTTATAGTGTTAGCTTTTTTCTTCATATGTGAATGATTTTCTTTTCAGAGATGTCAGTGGACAGTGACAGAGACAGTGTCATTGAGAGTGAAGAAGGAAAAGAAGCCGTTGTAAGAAACTTTTTTCCTTTCTTTTCACTGTTTTTCAAGGTTTTTAAATATGCATGTTGCCAGGACTCATAAACACACCTTATTGTTTTGATGGATGTATTTCACAGCAATCAGATGATGACTTTATTCAGGAGGAGGATGAGGATCACAATAATTTCAAGAAGGTAAGCTTGCTGCACGCTCACCACCACATAATGGATGTAAAACGCACGGCTATATAATGTTCTAATATTCACCCACACTTGCCTCACTTAGAAGCCGTCCATGTTGAGTTATGATGATGATGATGAAGACGAGGACGACGAGGATTCTGACATATTTGGAGAATCAGATAGGGATGATGACGAGGACTCAAAGGTAAAGCATTTCTCGAGTAGTTAAGAGATGACATCCTTCAGGTATGTCGCTACGTCACAGTGATGTTATTTTCCCGTCACGTTCAGAACACAGGCCCATCGTCTTTTGCTGACGAGCTAGCCGCCCGAATCAAAGGCGAACCAATTAAGAAACCAGAAGGAGATCGTGCATGTAAGTCACATTCAGATAAACCAATGAGTAGCATATCATCTCACTTTTGAATTCACATCACATCTTTTCTGCCATCACACTTCATATATTATTTATGTAATGAGTGTCATGTTTGCATGTGCATGCTCATGGGTTTTGTGTTTCTTGAAAGCAATAACATCT